GATGCGCCGATAAATTACCGATAAACTAGTAATTTAGAATATAATTATTGAATTATCGGTAATTTAATACCTGGTAAATTTGCAATCACTACTTTATACTTAGTATGTATAAAAAACTAAAATAAGCATGAGTTTATCTACTATTATATTTTCATATAAATAATAATATTTTATCTCATTTGTAGCCCAGTGTAGTGGCAGGCCGTATGAAATGACCTCGCGGGTGTAGTTTGGTGACCACTGATATAGACACATAGATAATTATTATTAAGAGAACGATTGACTTAGTCAGTATTTATCAATTATTAAAAATTATATGAAACAACAAGCCTCAAAAGTACGTCGCTCATGGAGTGTATTAATGCTTCATTGACATATCTTCAAAAAGGTATCATCTACGTACTTTTGTTGCTTTGATAAAAATTGCGTTACTATTTTTGCTGTTTCAGTTTAACGTTAAGATCTACATTTAGTTTTCAGTTATTACAGAATAAAATAATTTAAAAGGTATTGCAATTTTTATTTCTAGTTTGAAAGTACTGTACTTTATAGTAATTTTTACAAAATATTAGAAATATGTACATAGGAGATTAAATATCGACAAATTCGAAATAAAATTAATTTACGTACAGTAAACATAATTTAATTTGAAGGTGACGTGTTCACCTGAAACATTATGTTTGTTTAGTCTATTTAGAAAGAGCGTAAGTAATAAATTTTCTTTTAACTTAGAAAAGATAATTTTGTAGAGAACAAAGAGTCAAATAAACTCGTCTACAAGCAATTGTTTTATGTGTATAAAACAAATACAGTAAAACTTGTGTAAACCGATATCGGTTTAGACAAGTTTACTTTTATTTAACTGTATTTCCCAAAATTACTATTTCAACATAACATTGGATATAAATATTCATATTCTTAGATACAAAATACAATTTATTAAAAGTACTTTTACATTATGGAGTTTATAGAAGAAAGCAACAGCATTCTTTATAACTTTGAACACTATTCTTTTATTGTTCAAGTCTTTCTGCTTTCTATTACAGCATAGTAACCTATTGAATAATTATCTTAAATACTATTTATTTCGTTTTATTCGTTCTGAAAACGTTTTCCGTGACAATAGAGACAGCTTGTATTTTTACAAAATTTCCACTTCTTTAATTATACGGAAAATTGTAAATCTAAATAAGAATTACACAAAAGTATAATCTTTTTCTGCCTTTGATTACAATTAGAATTTAAAAAAAACAAGCAAAGTTAATACAAATGGTTGTTGTAACAGATAGCCTTTAATTTATAGAAAAAACTATTAAATGATAATATAATACTGACTGAAAATTATTACTTACATTTAAGTTGGAGATATAAAATTTTTTCGTTTAAGTCTTATTTTCAGTAACCTTTATTTATATAGAAAAATTAAAAAATAAAAGTTACTTCAATAATTATAAAATAAAAATGTATTGTATTGTAGATTGCGTGATACGAATAAAGTTACTTGTTGTGTTGGATTGATTATGAAGTTTGTCACTGAACAATAATTCTGTATATTGATTTACTGCTTTTATGAGTATTTGACGTTGTATATCCTGACGTTTTATGTCTGCAGGTTCATAACGCATTTGCAAGTTGGAAACTTCGACAAACTTTACTAACTAACTAATATTATCATTGATAATTTTTGAGAAATTGCATGAATGAATTCAGGATACATCTACCTATTACTACTGTCAACAATGTATACAGCTTGCATCCTTAGCAGTGGTAAGTTAATTTATATTTTGACATTTTGTATTTTTCATTCAAATTAATCTTGAAATGTTTGAAATGTTTACTTATTTCAATTAAAATATCAGAAATATTTTAATTGCCTGTTAAAGTCGTACAATATATTGAAGTAAATGGATAATAAAATAAGAAATATATCAATATTGGCATAAGTGTTAATAAGCGTTTAAAATTTATGCATGATATTCAAAATTATCTAATATCATTATATTTTAGTAAATAATTAATAATAAATAACATTATACGGTGTGCATTTTCATACCGTGGTTTTCAAATGTTTCAGAAATAAAAAATAAGAGAAAATATACAAAATGCTGTGAGATCATAGAATTTGGTGCACATAGAAACTGAAGAGTTTTACATTTCTGAACGTATGCGATAGGATACAATAGTGTTCATGTTTCTCTCTTAATATCAAGTCGAAAAAATAGCTTTTGACTAGAAAAAGCTTTTTAAAAAATTTTTTAATAAATTATTTTTCTCTTTAGTTTAGAAATTGTATTGTTATGTGCAATGGTGCACTTAAAAAGAGACCTTCTGGCGCACCAGTGCACATAGTAAAAAGTTATAAAAATAAAATATCAGATAAATTTTTTTCATTAAAAAATCCAGCAACGAGTTACTTATTTTTTCTAGCAACATTTAAAATTTTGTTGGCGCCATCTGTTATTATACATTAATATATATAACTTTTTATATTTTTAATTTTTATAAGACGGCAAAAACGTGATTTTGAATATCGAATTGAGTTTATAATTATTGTAAATGATAGTAACGAAAAAATTTGCAAAAATGTTGAATTCTACTTGAGATATCTACGAACCCCAATGACTTTTAACCACGAAAATTCAATAGCACCATTCTCCTAATATACAAACCTGCTTGCAACATTTGACAAAATTTTGTCCTAATGCACAAGAGTTATTGTGCTTCAAAGAGGAATACATGAACGAAATCAACACACACAAAGTGGCACTAACATCCATATACAGAAAAAATATAAGAATATTTATCATTTTTCGACGTTTTAAGATTCCTACATCCAANGTGCTAGAGAAGGACTTTGTCGCGGCTAAAACAGGAAAACGATGGACTCTATGTACAGTTTTTTGGAATTTACTTTGTACATTTCTGAGTCAAGGTAAAATTATTTAATTATGATAAAACTGAAAATCTAAGTTTTATAAAGAAAAAGTCTATTTAATTTAATTTAGGATTGAATCTAGAAAAAGTGAAAAGATTTGCGTCCAGATTAATGATAGGAATTTGGTGGTTATCGATTCTTGTTTTGGTATCCAGTTACAGCGGGGCGTTAATGTCTTTTATGACGTGTCCTTTAACTGAGTCTTTTCCAAAAGATTTTCAAGAACTTGCTGTTTTCGTCCGCAACGGTGAGTATTCCTGTGGAACATACAAGGGATTTCTTCCATGGAAAGAGATGATGGTAAGTGTTTTGAATTTAAAGATTTGTACTTTCTATATAGAAGGATCGGTTTTTTATAACGATTGTGTTTTATGTTAATATAATTATAAATTCTAGGAATCGAAATCGAAAAATATTAAAATTTTAAAAGAAAACATTNATTTAAAATTTTGTTGGCGCCATCTGTTATTATACATTAATATATATAACTTTTTATATTTTTAATTTTTATAAGACGGCAAAAACGTGATTTTGAATATCGAATTGAGTTTATAATTATTGTAAATGATAGTAACGAAAAAATTTGCAAAAATGTTGAATTCTACTTGAGATATCTACGAACCCCAATGACTTTTAACCACGAAAATTCAATAGCACCATTCTCCTAATATACAAACCTGCTTGCAACATTTGACAAAATTTTGTCCTAATGCACAAGAGTTATTATGCTTCAAAGAGGAATAAATGAACGAAATCAACACACACAAAGTGGCACTAACATCCATATACAGAAAAAATATAAGAATATTTATCATTTTTCGACGTTTTAAGATTCCTACATCCAAAAATGTAAAATTCGTGGGGGAGTTATTCCTTAACTGATCTCTCCTCTGTTATATATAACAGTCAGAAAAGCAATAGATGCCTGAATAATTTTAAAGTAGTATATTTTACGTTCTTACGTATTTAATAGTTAATGACGTATGCTATAGAAGAGAATTTTAAGCGTGATTGGCAATCTATTTCATTTTATAATTTTATTTGTATTAGTTTAGTCAAAAATTCGTACCTTTGATTTTATTCGAATAAATAATTTTTTACGAATATATCAAAAAAGTAAAACGTGGTCTATCGATAATTATACACTTGTTTTACAAAAAAGAGTAAAAGTGGAATTTATGTTATGAATTTTTAAGTCATTATATAGATTAATATTTTAATTCGTTTACCTATTTTAATGTTATATTTTAGCACCAAACATCCATTCTGTTGCATCGTGTCCAATGTAGACAAGTCGATGCTTCTTGAACAATTTTATACAATCATGCAACACAAACATTCTTGTATTCCATAGAAGCGCACTACTTACAAATAAATAAAGATTTCATATTCAGCAAATTTTACCGAATCATCAGAGAAATACTTGGATTACTAACTTTGTTTGTAATCATGGTAAAACTTTTAACACAGAAAATTGCTAATATTGTAATGCCAATATTAATATACACAGATATTTAAGACTGAATGATGCCCACACAATATAAAAAGTAAATTCCATGTTCAACGTTATAATCCATCTGATGACTCTTATTGTGCAAATTTTTTTTTAACTGAATAAAATGTGTTACGACAACTAACACATTATTTGACACTGCTAAATGTTCGCAATCGTGGTTTGATGAACATCAAAATGTAGTTAATCATTTTTTTTCCTATAAACCATTGATGTTCAACCGCTGAGATTTTTTAAGTGTGCCGCCACTGTGAATACTTATACACAAGCGACATTAGACAATCGGTTCCACAATTGGCGGTAGTTACCATGGCGTTTAGGAAATGTTACCTAAATAACCAACAGCGTTTAAAAATCATTCTTATGACGACTTCGATTGTTTTGCGGTACTTACCGAAGTAACAGTGTGTGCCGTTAAATTATAAATTACTTAAAGTGTACTGTGACAACAAAAAGATTAAGAATGTAAGAATGATGTGCTTTTTGTTTTTTTATTTTATATTCGAAAAAAACAATATTTTATAAACAATAGCCTGAAATCTGACCTGTAACAATAAACATTAAAATAATTAGATAATAAAAACTAAAAAATAATAAAATTCCACAGCATTTATCAATAATATTGTTTTGTAATAATAAGTATTTTAAATAGGAGTGTCCAACGATTCATATGTTTGGAGAGTTGCTGGAAATGGGGTAAAGTTATTCTTTTATTGTATAAGAAAATAATAATAATAATAAATGGCTTATAAATAATCTTATACTTTTGTCTTTCAGCATTCATTATTTATGACATATGATGAAACTAAAACACAAATAACAGGTGGAAAGTTATTTCCACTGTTTAAAGTTATTCAAGAGAAACTAAAATTTAGGTAAGTGGCTTCCTCATTACAATCTCAAACTAAGTATTTTGCATTTAATCATAGAACTTTAAAATATATAACAATATATAGATTCGGGTTACTGTTACTTTTAATCGTTGAAAATATTATTTTCATGCAGTTTTAAAATAATTTATAATATGAAAGAATTGTTATATAATTTATACAAATTGTTAATTTTAATAATGCTTATTTCTATAATAAATGTTATTAATGGTTCTGACTTCGTTTTAAACTCGAGAAATAACAATTACTCACTGATAGACTACTTTAACCCTTAAGCGCATATGGTTTCTGGTTGATAGATCATATTTAATGCATTCCAATATCAATATTATTTAATGAAAAAACTAATAGGAAATTAATAGATGCAAAAAAACTTCTTACTTGTTTTGCGTAGTCAGTTAGATCAGTTGAACAATTTTTCATAAATATCCAGAAATAATAATGTTTCCTCGAACCTAGTCAGCAGGAAAAATTGCAGCTCCACTCTATGTGTATCTCACTTCCGAGGTTATAGTCAGGTAGACATAAGGAACGCTTATTGTTCAATAAACCTTAGGCAAGTTAAATTAAAAATTAATCAATGTATACTTATAAATGGATAACAAGAGGCGTATTGAAATAAGTAAATGTTATCCAACTATAAAAAATTTTCAAGAACAGTCAAATAAGACATATCTGTACAATAAAGTTCTGAATATAGTCACCACAAAAATTAATACAACGGGAACGAAATACAAATAAAAAACATGAAATTTAAACAAAAAACGTTTTACATGTGTTCATTAGGATGAGAACGAAATAATATTGATATTAGAAAACTGCAAAACAGTGTACAGATCAACAAAACAATAAACGAACGAAGGAAATTTTCTTCAATCAGAACTAAGAGGAAATAAATATCAGTGTAGAAATACGAAAAAATACAACAGTTAAAGTTAATTTATTAATATAGTCAATCTAGGTTTTCTACTAGAAATAATAGCAATAAAACAATAAAAATTTACAAATATTACTAGTGTAATAAAAGGAATTTTGCTTTTAGCTGAAAATTTTATAAAAAAGTTAAGAAAATTATCTGAAGTTGTACTTCCTAGATATTATATTATGAATTTTTTACTGCTAATGATAATTAGCAGTAAAATTCATTATACATGGATAAAATTAACTTTTTACATATTTTTGAATCGAAATCAACAAAAATGCTCGATTTATTGGATTTTCTTGCAACTTTTTAAAATACGAAGGTAATGCTAAAAGTCTTTTAATCTTTTAAATATGTTTATAAGAAAATTACGTTTATATAATTTTAAAGCTTGAACATTTATCTATTTTTCTGCATAATCGCCATTTCGGCCAATGCATTTTCGTATGCGCTGTGGCAATTTTTGTATGCCCATGTCTTACCAGCTCGCCGCCATGTCGTGTTAAACCGATTGAAATTCATTGCCAATTGACAAAATTTTGTGCGAGTCGTGCATCCTATACTACTTGAAGTTGTCAAAAACATTTTCAAGTAGTATAGAGTGTTTGCGGCTGAACGTACTGAAATTCACTACGAAGTAAGAAGCAAGAGACTGTCATCTTTTGTGCTAATTTAAATTTATTCGGTAACTTTCTGGATACTTTTTAATAAATTATTAACGGCAGTATGAAGGCAAAAGGATGCGCAGCGTCGAACTTTAACATTCAACTATAGATTAGGAAATTTAATGCATATGCCAAAAAGTTCTGTATCTTGACGTTTGCTGAAGTGAGTGAAAGAAGCGAAGTTAGCCGATTGAAACTTTACAGTAGATGGTTAACAAGTATTTTCAAGGTCAGATGAATAACAAAATGCATTTGTTTGCATGAAGTAATCACATTTCAAAATTGTGTACGTTCCACAAGATATGTACAAGAAGCAAGTCGACAGGATCGAACATCTCATATGCTGCTAAAGAAATGGATACTCAAAATCAAAAAAATATTTATCATGGTTACGGCAAAGACCTGTATAAGATGCAATATAGAATTGCATAAATTGAAGCATCCCTTGTCCAGGAAGTACTTAGAAAAATACACAAAGGAAAATCTTCCGGTAAATGAACACTTTTTGAAGAATTATTTTCCACGTGTTCATCAAGAAAGACTTAAATAAATCCGCATAAAAATTAGTGACAATGCTGTATGGTTTGCTGTAGATGAAACTGTAGACGCTTGCAGATGATATGTTGCTTTAACGGTAGTATGAGAACTTCACTGAAAAGACTGCGCTAAAATTATCGGTTTATATATAAATTTCTAAAAAAAGTCGAATGCAGAGGAGATAGCTACATTTATTCACGGGTGTGTAAAGCTGTTGTATAATTAAAAATATATCATACTGAAGACTGCGCTTTCTAACCATGACGTGAATATTTTATATAATCTTATTCACATAACCTGCCTGAATCACGTATTTCTTCTAGCAAAACAAGTTCATTTACATTTTAAAAATGTAAACTTTTCATTTCTTTTTGCAAGAAACTACGTGCAAACACATGATGTAAACTGCATTGTGAGTGTCTACCAGATACTCCTTATCCACCCTCTCCTATAGTCACGATATGAGATACATGGACGTATTTTACAAATACGTGAACCGTTCACATCCCGGCACACGTATTTGTAAAATCTAAGTCAATCATACAACATAAAATTTATATAAAACGGAATTATCGACAGTGTTGTAGTGGGGTCTACTGTATTTGTTTGATTTACTAATAGATATACTCGCTTATTTTTACATGATGTTAAATTAAAGCATTTTTATGTTAGATTTAAAAAACTATTTTTACCAATTATAAGACCTAAAATTATAAATGTTTCGGATTAATTGTTTCGCATATATTTAATTATGACATTTTAATAGTTACATTATAGTGCACCCGATAGAAAATACAACTGGATATAAAGATGAAAGTGGTAAGTGGAACGGAATTACAGGACAAGTTGCAAACCAGGTGAGTAAACATAACAATCAAGTTTATAATGTTTAGAAAGCTAATTTTACAATACAAAAATATAAAAATCATAAATAAATAGTTTGTATAAGCCACAAAACTAGACACATTAATATAAATATATTATCACTTGACTTTAACAATTGAACATTGCGCCCCAAACATACAGTTCTCAAACATCAAATCGAGTTATATGAAGTAACGAACGTATCAATCAATCGAACATTATGCAGTGACTGACATGGTCCATGTCACTCACTACATAATGTTCGATTGATTGATAACCGATGAATAGTTATAAACAAATACGAAATAGACCCTAAATACAATGTGTTAGTATGGAAATGAACGGTAAATTTCACAAGTATACATTATTAAAAAAAAACATATCCCGAGATATCTCTGACAAGTTACATAGCGTTACATAAAACTCGAGCGTTTGGACCCTATAAAAATTCTTGTTTCTTTTGGATTTTTGAAATGTTTTTTAAGTCTCCAAATTTTTTCAAAATTGTTTTTCCGCGTGAAAAAATTTTATCGCGATTTTAATTTACTTTTAATGACGCACGATTAACGTTTAATTGCTTCTTAATTGTGTTTTAATGGGCGTTTGATATCAAATTTCATTTATCGTTCTAAAGTTATAGTGCACGGATTTTACTTCGGTAAAGTTATTTAAAGCTACTTTATAATGTCAAAATAATATTTTAATTTTTTAATTAATATATTTTATTATATATATGTTTAATTAAGTCGG